CAGCACTTTGATTTGTCGTGTAGGACCGGGATTATGTGGCAGCTCACCGGGCATCTCTCGATGAACAAAATACATGAAACTGTATTCTAAAAAGAATACTAAGAACGCCATCTTTGTCATACTCATTCAATTTCAACTTTTTTTTTTTCTAGTAAAATACATTGTTTGCAACAATGGCTGTTTTGTAACAACATATCACCCAGACATCGAAGTAAAGTATGTTATAATAATATATGGTATATTGTCTTGTTTGGTAGATTAATTTACAACCCCCTTAAAAATATGATAATTGTTTTTTTAATGTCCATGAATTTCAATGAAATATTGTATTTCAGCAATAACTGAAATCAAATGTGTAAATTTTATTAGAAGCCAGAGCCAATTCAGCCCTGTCTTCATATAAGTGCAGCATATTTGATTGTATGTCAATGTCATGTCCAAACAGCACTGTCTGTCCCGTGTCTGTCAATTGAGTATCCTCGGGGGCGGAGCTACGTCACGGACGTTCTACGTTGCTAAGACGCGCACCACTGTACCACGTATTTCTATGGGCTTTGTGCGCGCTGCTGTGGAACGCCGGTGGAGCCGGTGAAAACTCGAGAAAACAACACAAACTCAACTTTGAAGTAATCCCGAACAACCAAATTCATATATGTTACACACGTAGGGCTAATCTTGTTACACTGTTCAGGGGACTCTCAACAACCATCGCAAAGTACCGTTTTCTGCGAGTTTTTGGTCTTTGTTTTCATCACGAGGGTTGCCAGGCGGTAGAAAATGCCCGGATGTCCGCCCCCGAGAATATGATATTTTAGTCAAAATTATTCACTGAAACATAAATGAGCCAACAACAATCATACAGCGACAACAAATTGCGGGGAAAGCTTGTCCACCTTCAATCTGCCAGCCATGTTTCAATATATGGAGTACAATGGAGTACTAGTATACTAATAGAGCTTAACATGGTCGACGACAGTGAGGTATCGACAGTGGGGCATTGCGCCCTCGCCGACGGGTTCCCTCGGAAGCAAACTGCGCCACGGTTACGAGAAGTCTTCTAGTAACCATGACTATGCCAATGCTGCAGATGCCTGTTACCACCGATATCGTCTAGTCTGTACCAATCAGGTTACGGAAGCTGTTAATTATGGCATCCATCGCATAATATCCACGTTTCTTTTGTTGACATATTTTATATGATAACAAGTATTTATTATTTTGAAACACAGAACTTGAACCTGTTCGCCTTCTATGGACCATATTTCAATATATAAAAAGCAATTGAGTATATAGCCTGTTAACCGGCAATATTTATTGCGCTGACGAATTCAATTGAACGTAGTGATTATTTCTGTCAAGAATTTGAAAAGTGAAAATAACATATCCAACCGTAGATAGCGAAATAGCGAAAATACAAAATCATGAAAACAAATACAACCACAATCAGCGAACATTACAAACCATTGTCAAAATCGATACAATAGTTGGGGTGTCACTGGGAGGCGAAAAAATGCGCGACCCATTGCGCCTATGGGGCGCAAGGGATGGTGAGCAGACCCCCCCTCCCTCCATGCAAAATTTCGTTCCTCCGCCTCTGTACAAGAATGCCAAGATAAACAACCAAGAGGTTATTTCAGGCACATAGACTATGGAGGGACTGTGTTTCAGGTGTTTCCCGGCCGACGAAAGTGAGCACGACTTGGTCCACGCGTGGTCCACTCTGCACTATGCAAAGCGCTGCAGACGTGAATAAAGGTGGTTCACCAATAATGCCACTGATATCAATAGTAAGCTTTAGAAATAGGAAGTATTCTATAACATTGTTGTAGGTTGTCTGAAACCATTATATTAACACTTGTTAGGTCTGAGATTACAAGTAAGTTGATATATAAAATAATTCTACCGTTACTAGTAACATACATTTATTGTACCGTCATATATTCCCCCATGTATTTATGACACCGACCTTTCCATATTGTCACGATTTGGTTTCAATTGTAAACGTTATAAATTTTATGAGAGCCCTGCCCAATGACATTGCTAAGGTTACAGTCCACAACTTAAGCAATGTTACAATATAAAGACGTTGCGGGTACTTTCAAGTTCTTTGACCTAATTTTGCAATAACGTCTTGGTGTATCAATAATATAATTTACGGTACAACGACATGTCAAAAGAAAGAGCACATTCTTGTATGTTTCAGTTGAGTTTACGACCTGTCAAACCATTTGAATGCCGATTGTTTGTCCTTAAATGTATGGCCAAAAATTAACCACCGACAAATATTTCGGGAAACAACTGTGAATTTTGATGAAAAATTACATCGCATTTTTTTTGTCAACGATACAGTATTCTTCGTTATATTTAACTTATAACTAATGCGCCGTAATGTTCAGTAGATGCACAACTTGAATAGTTCGAACTCATTCTGACTGCGGGAGCGTAACAACGAAGTGTTGACACCAATGTCCAACTGTGCAAACATGTCACATTTGATTTGGCGTAATATGACGTACGATCCTCGTGAAAGCACTTTAACCTTTGAACAACGTATACGTGCCGTTTCGAACATTAATGTGCCTTTCATAAATAAGAAATCATCTCTCCACAAAGATTGAAAAGCGTCAGCATGTGAGTGAATTTTATTGTCGACTTGGACGTGACACCCCGGGAAATCCCATTTCCAATGTTGGGTGCTAAACTTTTTCTTTAGTTCCCCTTCCAACGGCCGAAAACTCGATAAATTCATACATGATAAGTTTGCGACTATTTGTTCAATTTGTTTTCTTGTTTGAAGCAGCTGTATGACATATCATTGCCATTACCACTTGCCACATTTCATTGATGATTAACCAATCCCTAATTATATATGCTCCATCAATGAAGTATCCCATGTGGTCCAGGTCCTTAGGTGTTCTTTGTATGTGGTTAATTAGGTATAGAAAGTATGTACCCAGTGTTACCTAGGGCATGGTACGCCAGCTGACCCTGTCATCGTTCACTCGTGGTTTCTCCGCTCTGGACTCTAAATGTCGTTGGCAGCATACCACATACTCGACCTCAGAGCGGGAGTTTGTCACTGTCCAGCACTCTATCTCATCCACTTTAACCCAACCCCAGAAAGGAAGGACGAAGAGTGACTACGTCCCCTCTGATAAAATACATATTTACTCTACTTGTTGATATTAAAACAGATAATGTATTCAGTTGAGTATACTAGTAGTTCCTATGTCGATGTTTTTATCAATTTAGGAATCGTGCAGTCAGTGGTCGATATCTCATATTTCACTGACGAATTGAGATTATCTGTGTGAGTGTAGCCCTTAATTTAAAATAATATAACGTATGTCCCCATATTATAATTACACGAAAATAAAAATCTAAAAATTTCACTTTTTCAAGTAAGAAAGTAAAGTTTAACTTTCAATGTAAACAAATCACCCTCTCGCTGTAACCACAGTCCCTCTATCTAGAGGGACTGTGCTGTAACCTACCTACAAGCGAATGTGCTTATGTCACAAAAAGTGGGCGTGTCCAATAAACCTCTTCGCCTTCACTTACTACTTCAATCATTTTGGCGTGTTTAGTATACGCAGGCAAACTGTGCCGTCAACGTAACCTAGTGACTGTTGCTGATTTCAGGATAAGTTTCGACGAGAAGGTTGCATAATGTTGGAGACAGCTAAATTAGCGACCTGGGACATTGTGGTTATTGTTTTCTACTTCGTCTTCGTCCTGGCGGTTGGACTATGGGTAAGTGCAGCGTTGAGTGAAAGCTGTGTACTAAGTGGAAGTTGAGTCGGAGTACTTTACAGGGGGGCAAGTGGATGTTCTTGTATCCAGATGAAAACAGAAAACTAGTATACGTTTTCTTGTTTTCTATAGTCTTGATGTTTCACTTTCATAGGCTTGTGCTCAGTGTAAAAGTTTGTAGCGGGGACGATATGCGAGTAAAGTTGGAGGTCATCCACCGTGTTCGGGCATCGTGTAAGGCTACTTTGTCTGCGAGCAAAGTAAACGATGGCGTCGAGGTCATTGCATAGACCTCTGGTGGAATGCACTGTGCTTCTCAACCACCATGTTCTTGCAGTATTTTCGTAGGCTTTATATCAGGAAATAGCTTGTCATCAAAACTGTGTTTCGCATGTAAGTTTGTATAAACAAATTTAAACTATGCATGTTCTTCCTCGTGGCCCAATTCATTAATACCAGCCAATCATTAAGTTTGAAGCTTTGTGTTTGTTAATTTCTTTGCTGATTTTGTTTTGTTTTGTATGATCTTTTTAATTTTTTCCAGAATTATTATGAGTTGAACATTATGATTATTATTATTATTATTATTATTATAAACTTGATATTTATGTTTACTGTTGATGTTGTTACATGTTGAT